TCGGTGTAAATGTTTGTTACGTCAGAGCTGTGTTTGTTGGACACAATATCCAGCAGAATCAGTCTAGCCTAGCGCCGCAGAATTTCCCTATCCCCATAAAATAATAATCGGTGCGGGCTTGTTTGTTAGCTTCGTTAGAGGAAGATGCCTTGTGTATCATTCATTATGCGGATGCCGGAGAAGGGCATTCTTTAGCTGCCTCAGGATATAGCAGTGATCCAAACAAGCTGTCCGAGATTTTTTTATTGAGTCATCATATAAGCAACGATTATTAGTTCCATAGCAGAAACGATTAAACAATATGCGCCTTAGATCCACGTCCTTTTTACACGTAACTGCTGTAAAGAGGGTGAAATAACGGTGGAAATTTCGTATGGGCATCGAGTCCGCTACCCGTAAATATTCAAGCTCTACACGCTACCAAATCCGTTGTTGTTGCTGTTCCGTATCAAAAAAAGCGCATGGAAGCACAAGAAATAAACATGGTGAAGTGACAGTGGAACAAGAAACAACTACAAAAGAACGGTGCAGTGCTGCCTAGCCAACTTTAAAAATGGCATACAGGAGGGGTATGGATACGACCACCATTGCGTACAGGAAGACGACTTCGACCAGCGTCTGCAGTTTCATCTTCGATTCAATGCTTTTCACGGATTTGCTGAGAAGATCCTCCATCTCGCTGCCAACATAGACCACATTTGGCACTTCAGCGTTCAGGTTCAGCTCAATCGCAATCAGACGTTTTATCTCATCCAGCTCTTTGCCTAGGACTTGATTCTGCTCCTGCAGAAGGCGGACTAGCCTTTCTGATAGTGCCTCGTCCCCTATATACTGGTTTGTTGCGGCCACATTCACCACATCCTCAGCAGCTTTCAGATGCAGTGCCTCCCGAACACTTGTGATGAAGTTTGCTACCTGCAATACCTGTTTCACAGACCATCAACCACTGCTGGTCATTCCTAACAGCAACTGCGCCTTCTCTCAGCAAATCGTTTCAGTTTACATCATCCAACCCTTTCTGGTAGATGCTGTCTAAAGAGTGCTTCCACTTCAAACTGCTCCCTCTCTCACCAAAAGTGCGACATAGGGAGAGACCGGATTTTAAAGCCCTCCTTGACATTAAGCCCCCCAACAGCGAAGCACCAGTGGCTGGAAGAGACATCCCGAAAAATGCTTACCTCGCTCTGTTGCTTCTCAACCAAACTAGTGATTTCTTGAACTAATGGTGTCAGTGATGAGACATCCGGCAAAAGTTCCTTGATTTTGCGCATTCTTACTTCATTCGCTACCCAC